AAAGATATCAACATGAAATGAACAAACCTAAGAGAGGTCTACCCAAGGTACATATACACCAAGTATCAAAGCATTTAGGCTTGTAGTTTTCAAGAAGAAGTCGAAAAAGTAAAACATTGACACGGACGCCGACGGACGACGACGACGACGACGACAACGGACAATCACTCATATGATAAGCTCCGCTCGACAAAGTTGACAGCGGAGCTAAAAAAAAGTATATATAATATTATATGTATCATAATTACTCATTTTTAATTAATAAATATGGATATCTTGGTTACAGAAGTTCAGGCCACACATTTCAGAGAGAAGTACAAAGTTATTACAGTTGTTATGACAAAACTGAATTCTAATGTTGTAACTAATGTTCACCTACTTCAATAATGGGTTATTTAATTGACTAGTGAATTTTTAAACACTCCTCCAATTGTTACTAGTTTTGTAACATTGAAGACAAAACATAATCAAGGTGCTGCCTAAATAGAACACCCTCATTCAATGTGATCAAAGTTTCAGCCAACGTCTTAAATATAAATACTGTCAGTGTCAAACAAACTGGTCAAGACTTTCACAATTTGTTTCTGAACCATGTGAATTGTCATCCTTTCTTGGTTTTGTAATGGCAAGTGAACTATCTCTGTACTCGTCAATGTTGTTGACTTTGTTAGCATCCAGCCAACAGTTGCCAACAATGTTTCAAAACCAATGAAAATCACTTAGAATAATCACTCACAAGTTAGAAACCAATTTACAGACACATATAAACATTTGAGACAATATTTACATTACAAGTTTTATTGTAATTGTTGGTTATTGGTGGTGAGTGGCAGAAAGATGATGATGAAAAATAACACATACCAGAAATAGATCTTTGGGGTTGCCAACAACAGAGAAGAGATATGGCCAGAGAGCTATCTCAGTCTTCCTAGCGCAATGCACAACAGTTTGTAGGAATTCTGGGAACTCATTGATGAACGCCACAACTCTTGGAAGTAAGGCATCTATGAAGAAACAAAATATTAACAAATTTTTAGTGATCATCGACTTGTAAATACATATCAAACCAAGTGTTTAAGTCGCAATCATTATACATGTAGTCTTTTGCTTCACCTAATAATGAACGATAACAATCCAAAGTTTAATACTAAATGTTTAATAGTGATCTAGTAAGAATAAACATGTACTCCAGTTTGAGGCAGATCATAAGTATTCAACCTAAAAATATGTGTTTTGAGAAAAACTTGATAAAAAGATGCCAAAATTTACACTTTTGAAAAAAGCCAGTGATAGGATTGTGGGGTGGGTAGTCAATTCCATTTTGAGTGGTCAAAATACCCATGGGTGAAATGTCTGGCTTAACAAAACCCATAGCCAAAACGTGTGTCCTCTGAAAAGACTACACTGACCACTCCCAAGTAATAAATATACGACTTGAATTGCTGGAAACAGATTTATACCTGGTATTGGTTCTGATGCAGTAGCCTCTTCCTCCAAGACTTCATGCAGCATGAGTTCCAAGACATGAGAGAAATACGGTAATGACGTACAGCTCCTGGCAATCTCTAAAGCATGGAATCCAAGACTACAAAACAAACACAAAATTGTACGAAATGATGAACTGTGAAGGAGTATGGCAAGTATGGGTACTGGCAGTGACATGAATCAGATAGTACATCAGAATTGGTGTAACATTGAGAGCAGCTAAGTTATCTCACACATATATGAATATTTACAATATTTGTTTACAATATTCAAACTTGCGCTACATCAATAACTATGGTACACCCAACATACTGTAAAATGCATTGATTATTCACTAGCTTTTAAATTTGGTATTTTCACTGAAATTATTTAAATCTATGTGAACATGTACAAGTACAGTGAATACATGAGATTGACGGTCTGATTACTAAGACAAGATGAATACTAATATCTGTACTTACTTTCTGCGTAAAAGTTGCCTGAGAATATGATGGAGATAAATCTGAGTCTGTAAAACATAGAATAAGTGGTTACCATGGAGACACACACTGACTGACAAGCACAATCAAAATGCATGGGAACGCATCTCCTGTACTAGCTTGGCACACCCAATACAACTGCTTTATAAATTGCGCCCTCTAGCGGCGAAGCATTTCTATGAGATGAATGGGTGACAGGAAAGCCCCTGAAAGCATCGATATCGTTTTGATCTGTTGTCGGTCATCTATGAAGATTACGTTTTTAAGAGATTTTACTATAACGTAGATGACAAACACAACCAAACACAATTGTTGATTTGAGCGGCATAGCTTTCACCCAAATAACTGTCACAGTTTGACAACCCATCACTTGAGGGCGCAATTATAAAGTCACAATTGAACATTTATAATTCAACACATACTAAACCTTAACAATAACGGTTCATCACATTGAAACAAGTCCAATACTTTGACACATCTCAAAACATAATTGCAGTATACTCACAGTTCTTTCTAGAACACAGTACGGAAGTCCTTGTTGACAAGAAAGACCAGTACCTGGTGACGTTGGATCATAAGCCAGGACATCGTTGGCGGCACCCAACACAACAGCATCTGCAAATAGTACAGCTAAAACAAAATATACATAAAGTTAAGAGTTTTTTTACTACAGTAACAATTACTTGTGTAGAACAATGAAAATACAGATGAATTGAGTCATTTAATATAACATACACAGAAATCCAGTCAAAGAATAATGTAAGAATATTTGAAATTTTTAAATTGAGATAAAATAACTGCTACTTTTCTGAGGGGACACAAAAGCTTTATCTCCATGTTATCCAGAAAGCAAGGTGAAAAAATACAGCTACATGTCTTAAGGAAACCATTTTTACATAAATCACTATAACTAAAGTTTAATAGCAGAGTAATAGTAAGAATAGATTAAATTTATTCTGTAGGGGAGATACTAAGTATTATTTTCTTGATGCAATGAACTCGTAATAATCTAAGCTAGAGGGATCTCACCTTTAAAAACATTCACCTAATCATCAACCCGAAAACACTACTACACACTTAAATATTCCACGAGAGGGCATTTTAATTCTTACCACTCACCCAAAGGGTTTATGTGCATGTTTAATCATTAACCCAAAGGCACTACTACACACTTAAAATCATTCAGCTAGAAGGTATTTTTGTTCTTCATTTTTAGCACTCACCTAGAGGGTAAATTTGTAATTTAAATGGTAGCATTATTCTCTTGGCAAGAAAACTATGGGGTTGATCTTCCTTTGTAGGAAACAGGGGCAGCCAGACCTGGGAGATAAAGAAAAGCGTTTCAGAATCAAGAACAGAATAATTATTTTCATTCTGCAAAACATTGCTTCAATTTGACATGTGGCTATACAGTCCTTGTTGACATAAAATTGATCCTATACACTGTGTGATATGGAAAGCGTGAAATATTAAAGCATACCTTCATACCGACGGCACCACAACCTAACCAGAGTGCTTCCATAAGATGGGGTTTCTCACTGCTACTGCCAACTGGAGCCCACATGTTCTCAACAGATGAGGCCAAGACAACAGGTGCCAAGAAGGGAAGCTGACAATACAGAAATCAATAATACAATATAGTGACACTATATGCAGTAAAGAATAGTACTTTTGTGGGGGGAAAAACATTATGAATCATAGAAGAATATGTCACCATTGCAATAATGAACCATTTAAGACAGATATAAAGCAAAGTATTTGCATTTCTATGTCATAATGAGTTTAATGCATTAAAGATAGATAGAAAATAAGTCTGCAAGGACAAATATATACGTTTATCATATCAAGTTTGGACCATAATATTGAAAGGAGTACTTAAAATAAGTACCAGTAGACATTCTTTATTTGGCAATGACAATTCATCAGTAGTATATCAATGGGTGAGAGTTGCTGTACTACTGATAATACAAATAAATTTTATTTATTTTTTAGGGTTGTAGTGTGAAATTCTTCATATATATTTACAAATTATTTATCCATGCAAACAACCACTGGTAAGGAGTACCCGTCTACCCACATTTACTACCTATAATATATCAAGGTGTTTAAAGCACCAATCGTTGTGTAGCGTGCATTTATATTTTATCTAAACATATGATATGAACTGGATGCGGGCATATGGGACCCATATCGAACACGAAGCATAGAAACGACTGTAACAATTTAGGTCACATGGCACTGTCTCATAGGGATCTCTCTGTTCAGGCACTTACCTCCTGAGGTCCTTTCCTGTTCTCTGTATGTGAAGGACATGATCTATCTCTTTGTAGCATCAGTAATCTGCCGGCTACATTGACAATCAGACTCTCAGCGTCTCGACTTCTTGTCAGTGCTTTGTTTGATGCTATTTGCATAATAAGATATTGATTGTCAACATATTGTAAAACAAGCAACCTATCGGCTGAGACAGCTCCGCTGTTAGAAATGCACATTTCAATTAAAGAACTGAAGACATCATCAGAAAATGAACAATATGTATAGTATCAAAGCAATCGGACTTACAGTTTTTAACAAGAAGTCGAAAATATCACTTTCTACCAAAAATGACCAAAATATTCACCAAAATTAGAGAATTGAAGATATCATCACGAAATGAACAAATCTGAGAAAGGTCTACATGTAGTATCTATATATGTAATATCAAAGCAATTGAACTTTTGGTTTTTAACAAGAAGTCGAAAATATCACTTTTTACCAAATATGACAAAAATATTCACCAAAATTATAGAATCCAAGATCCATAGACAGAAATACACTGAATTACTTATGTAGTGAACCAATATTTTACATGAATTATGTTTCATTTGTTTTCTAAAATGCTTTTAATTTTTTAAATTGTCATAAAATTTGTGCATTTATTTTGATTTTTCATAAATTTTAGACAAAAAATATGAAAAAAACTGTGCCTCAAACTTTAACTCAAACAACGTATTTTTGTTTTTGAGCCTTCCAAAAATGTGAAAATCACACCAACAAAATGCAGCTAATCACCTACAGGAGAGATTGCATGTAACTCACCTGTTTCTGATCTTAATGACGTCAAAGTTAATGATATAAGGGACGATGGGTGAGGTACAAAGTTAGCTAAAGAGAGATCTTGTATCCGTGTCAATACTGCACAAGGATCTATGAAAAACAAATCAGAAACATTAGTGATCTTCATCTATTTATGTAGAATCAAAGCAGTTTTGAAGGTAAAAATGAAAATTAAGTACATTTGTACATAGATCAGAATCAAAATTTACCAGATTGGAAGACAAATGTAAGTTTTAATCAGAATACAATCACAGACATATTTTGACAACCAAATTGTGCAATTTATGAGGTTTGTGGGCATTTAAAGTAGCACAATAATAACAATTTTTGTGGCAGGGATACCAAAATAAAAAAAAAACTTTTCCTACAGGGGGAAAAAAGGGTAAAAATTACTAGATATAAGAAGATAAGATATACTTTTAATATTTTTACCCAATTGGCTCACATTTAAAAAGAAAAAGATATCCCCAAAACAAAGTAATGCAATAAATACTGATCTGAAGATTAATGAGATTATCTCCATTTCAGGGACAAGTACCTCACTGTAGATTGGCAGAAGAAAAATGTTTTGAATGCAGTAGGAAAAACACAGTATAAATTGATTGTTCTGTTATAGTAGTTTACAATGAGGTACTGTGATTCAACACGGCATATTGTGAGACACCATGACATATTTCCCTCTTGTATATCCCCCAAAGTATTCGGTGATGTTTTGAATCAAAGGGAAATTTAAATGTACTGGTAATTGATAATGACACCGGGGCAGCCAAGTAATTTTTCCCAGTACATAATGCAAAAAATTACTTTTGTGTCTTAACGAATTAATGACTGAATTGTACAAGACAGATTTTCTTTATTCTATATTAACACATGGTTATCACCACACATCAATGATACATATGAGAAATTGGTGTTAATATACAATGCTTTGAACACCACACTATCCAAGTTTTACTTATACTTACATGGTTCATCCAATGTTCTTTCTATTTGGCAATTGGTGAAGTTAAAAAGACAATTTGAGATCATTTCATAAATTTGCCAAAATGGATGTTAGATCATGCAAAATAAAACCCTTATTACCTTGCATTTTTTTTTACCATATGACCGATATTAAACCCGTTTAAACCCATACACTGAACAAGCAAATAAAAAAGAAATCATGATTCCTGAATCTGAAACTGCACTCAACAGAAGTTATTTTTGGTAGTTGAAAATTTGAGGTCTATACAATTTTGTCAGCTCAATTTGATGCTATCATTTAGACAGTACATAGACCTGTTTCTATGCAATTTGAAACCTTGTTTTGCGATTTGAAATATTTTTGTCGAGTATGACAGTTTTCAGTTATTACTTTAGTGGCCACCGTTATATTGACAGTGTGGATTGACACGAGACACACTCAATATTATGTAGACAAGCAGAAAAGGAAGAAGCTGTCAGTCCACATGATTGGAACTATGAGACATCATTATGAATGTCTTTAAATTAAAATTTGTTTTGTTTTGTTTTTTCTTTTGAAATTTCAATTCATTTGTAAACATGCTATGAGTTTACTCTGACAAAAGGATGCTAATTTTAAACATAATCTAGTTCAGGACAAAAAATATAATATCTGTAACACTGATCAAACTTTATTCGAATAACTTTACACCTTGCATGCATCGTTAGCTTTCCACTTATTCCATGTATAAATCACCTGTTCTAATCTCCTTTGAAGTTGAAATAGTTTGGATC